CACATTGTCCAACCGCTCTAAAAGTGGTTGGGTTGGTGCCATTTAAACTCATATTGCACTCTATCTTGTCCTGCAAATAAAAATCACAGGTTTTGTGATGGTTTTTCAGGACTTATTTATATTTTTACTGCTATGTTGTTGCAGTATTTTTTGTTTTGTTGTTTGATGCATGTGGTTGCACTTCTCAGTTCTATTTCTGGTGCATTGTGGGATGTAACAGCTACACAGGAAAGAACCATTCAGAGGAAGTGATTAAGCGCAGATGTATGGCCACTGTCCGAATGGTGTAAAGGTCATTCTAAAAACATTTAGCTAACATTCCAATTAAATTTAACAGGTTTTTACAGTAGCATTTTTACAGTCTTTTACCGTTAAATTCACTGTAATTTTTTTTACAGTGCACTTATTAGTTTCAGATGGTTCAGAGAACATTTGAAAGTAAAATTCCCATAATGTTTGCAAAATTCTAAAATGGAACATTCCCTTAATGATGTCGCTAACATTCACATAATTTTAAAAACTTGATGTGTTGAATGTTCCAAGAATACTCAGACATAACGTTTTCATAACTTAATGAGAACATTAGCAAAAGTCGGAGACAATTAGACCTACAGTCAGACAGTTAAATCCGTCTGTAGTGCAGTTAATAGATCTTACTGTCAACACTGTATTGAATGAGTACCATATTTTTTTATTCAACAAAGTATTTGCGTGGTATATAAGGAGAACTATGTTTTATTCTTGCACCAATGAAAAACAATTTGACAGTTTCTCTGAAAACAAGAAAAATTCTGTCAAACTCTCAAAACAAGAAAAATTATTTTCTCAAGGATGCTTGGATGTTTTTCCTGGAAACACGACACAGACTTCTTTTCAATTCAGTTAACAGCCTTACATAAATGTTCTGTGACATCTAATGCCGTTGCTGCTGGTTTATGTAATGTTGCTTCTGGTCACAGAATCCCTGAGCCACGGTGGCTCTTCACCCAAACACGCTGTTTCACATTAATATTGTGCAAGTTTGCCTTCAGCGTTAGTTGCAACATGCGGGTCGTGTATGTGTATGTGTGCTCATCAGAAGAAGTGCCAGTCCAACGAGACAAATATTCCTGCATCCCCGAGGGACAGTTCCGTACAAAACAGGAGCCCAAGTGCACAATTGCACAACAACCTACAAAATGCAACCAAACTGAGAGAAAAGCACTCGTTGGAATGATACTTTGATGATAATCAGAAAAATATCAGATGATACAGAGAAGAGCAGCAGTATCATGGTATCACCTGGTAAAACCACATAGGCCTATACTTTGGAAATGAAGGATTACCATTTCCATATACCATGGTATTTACATGTACCGCCATGGTATTTGAAGTACCTCATAGTAGGCCTATTGCCTGTTAAATGGGTCATTTGGCACCAAAGCACTAAACGATTACACCAGGGGCGTAGATGACGCGGGGGACGTGTCCCCCCCACTTTAAATGTCACGTAAATTCGTCCCCCGCACTTTTTCGGGCAAGTGTGTTCGCATAGAGGTTTTTTCATGAGCCGGTGTGAATAAATATAGATTTAAATTCAAAGAGACAGGATAGTCAGTGCATGATCTGATGTTTTATTCGGACCCAGAATAAGGCGAGATGAACATCACTGAGCGCTAAGTGTATGTTTCATTCATACTGGAAGCCGGAGGGCACTCTCGCGCAGAAAGTCGTACGAGGAAATTCCTAATATGGACAAAAGCGTCCAGCTATCGCTGTACGAAAACAGTTGTTTTCACAGAAAACAGAAACGTTTGGAAACATGAAGACATTAAACATACGATTGTGGCAATATATGGTTTATTTGTGTTTGTCAAGTCATTTCCAGGACATGGAATATGAACAATGCAGTGCTAATTGACATAGCATTTATTACAGAATATAAACTATTCTGCCTTATTATGTGATTTAAAAGTGTTTGCAGTATATAAACAAATCATTATTATTGGTTATTGCCCAGCAGTTATCTGATTTCTAAGTCCGTTAAAAGCTAGAAATTAGAGAACAATTAAAGCTGCTACACTACTGGTCAAAAGTTTTTGAACAGTAAGATTTGTAATGTTTTTTTTTAAATAAGTCTCTTCTGTTCACCAAGCCTGCATTTATTTGATGCAAAGTACAGCAAAACAGTAAAATGTTGAAATATTTTTACTATTTAAAATAACTGTTTTCTATTTGAATATATTTAAAAATGTAATTTATTGTGACTTCAAAGCTACATTTTTAGCATCATTACTCCAGTCACACGATCCTTCAGAAATCATTCTGATATTCTGATTTGCTGCTCAAAAAACATTTATTATTATTATGATGTTGAAAACAGCTGAGTATAATTTTTTCAGGTTTCTTCGATGAACAGAAAGTTCAGAAGAACCACATTTTCACTGTAAAAAATTACCGTGAATTTAACGGTAAAAGACTGTAAAATGCTACAGTAAAAACCTGTTAAATGGTTAACAGTAAATTCCCCTACTATATAGGGTGAAAAACTGTATTGGACATTAATTTTACGGTAGTATACCGTTTTTGGAAGGGAAAAATACCGTATAATTTACAGTGAATAACCGTAAATTGACATTCCCAGAGTTCCCTTTGTTACATTTCATATTTGATGTTTTTTTGTTGAAATAACTGTTTCCTCTTAGTTTTTTCTTATCAGTTTTGTATATTAGGGTTGTGTGTTACACCTAATGTTGTTAAATGAATGTTTATAGCATTATTTCAGTTTCATGTGTGTTACCGTGATGGTGTTTGGTGTTTGTGTGAATGACACTGTACACCTTCTATATATGTTATTATTTAAAAGCTGCTTGTGATGGGCTTTGGTTCATCATGTGACTTTCACATCACCACCTGCATTTGGTGGTTATCAGTGTATTACAAAGGTACAAAATAGAGTTCAGTACTTCAATAGGTTGGCATGTTAACATTATATCAGTTAATGAAATTACGTTCATTACTGTAAACTGTAAATTTAAGTTACAACCGTAAAACCTAAAACGTCGCTACCATATTTTTTACGGTTAAATTCCGGCAACCACAGCTGCCGGTTTTTTACAATACATTTTACGGAATATTTTTTACAGTGTAGGCTATCTGAAATAGAAATCTTTTGTAACATTATAAATGTATTTATCATCACTTTTGATCAATTTAAAGCATCCTTGCTAAATAAAAGTGTTAATTTCTATAATTTCTTCTCCAAAAAAATACAAATTATACCGACTCTAAGATTTTGAATGGTATAGAGTATAATGTTACAAAAGCTTTTTATTTCACATAAATACTGATCTTTGGATCCTTCTATTCATCAAAGAATCCTGAAAACATTTTCTCAACTGTTTTAAATATTGATAATAATAATAATAATAATAATAATAATTAAAAACGGTTTCTTGAGCAGCAAATCGGCATTTTTAAAAGTTCATCCTGCAACCTGAAAATGTTTATATTGCGTTCCATTTATAGATTTTATATTGTTATTATTTCTTATTCTCGTGTAGCTGCATGCTTTATTTATTGATCAGAACACACATTGTCCTGTGGCCTGATCATGCCAGTAAAAATGCACGGTTTAGAGATGAGACGTTGCATTGAAATAAGATTGTCTCCATATTCTCTACACTGACTCCCAGACTCATTTCTGCAGCCTGATTGTGGTTGTCTGGTCTGATATCTGCTCTCCAAACATCAGCAGTGTCAGAATTGGTCCGCATGGGTGTTGGGACGCAGGGAGCGGGGAATGCAGCATGGATACGGATGTGTGTGTGTGTTTTTAATGAGCGTGCACCACTGCATCACACACCACCATGTTTGACATCACTGCTGCATCCTTTGAGGAGTTTCAGACTCAAACAAACAAACACACACATGTGCATGAGTCACACTGCAGATTATGAGGCTAGTGTCCATTTACTGATGGGGTGATGGTGAAAGATATGAGAGAAAATAAAAAACGGCTCAGAATGAGTCACAGGGTGTTGTCTGTGCACACATGCATATGTTATTTAAATTTATTTTTAAGTGTATTTATATTTTAGACTGATTTCTGTCTCCTAACAAGGGTTTAATTGAGTTTAATTTAATTTGTATTATTATGTAGAAATGTTGTAGTGTGTATTTTGGAAACATTTGGATGCATTTGTTTTTCATGATGAATTTAGACAATTATTTAAACATTCTTGGTCACTACATAATTTGTGTCCATCTGGAATATTGTCATAATGGTGTTTAGTATCATGAATATATAGTATTATCTATTAATATTCACAATTAGTTTTGATTTTTATGTTTTATGTATTTTTTTAATTTTAGCTACGGTTTTAATAATTTTGTTGTCTTTGTTTGTTTTATTCTTTTTAAATATGTTTTTAATTTCATTATTTTATCAGCTTTATCTGAGTTATTTTCAGTTTTGGTAATTTTGGCAACAAACTGGAATATTTACGTAAAGTATAACTAGGGATGTAACGGTATGAAAATGTCTTATCACGAATATAGTGACCAAAATGATCACGGTTATCAGTATTATCACGGTATTGTTAAAATGTGCTGGAAATGTTCAAAAAGTACTGACACAAATATTGTCAACAAACAACAAATAAAATGATTTTTTGTTTGCATAACTGAAACAATAACATTGCCAATGACGTCCGGATTTTAAATGACAACGTGACTGACAACAGTTTATCTAATAGCATGTTCAAATATCTAATTGTAAATGTTCAAATAAAGCTTTGAAAAGTTTCATAAATGGTAAACCTCACATTTCAGCTTTTAAATAAAGAAAAGGGTCAAGTCAAAATGATAATTGATTAATAAATGATTATATGTAATCGAATACGGTTATAGTGATAATTAAAATATGAAACGGTAATACTTACCGTGGGGCATTTTATCACGATTTATCGTCAAACCGGTAATCGTTACATCCCTAAGTATAACTAAACTTTTTTAGATTTAATTTTATTTCAGTTTTTTTTTTCCCCCATGAAGATGAATTTCAAAGATAACTTTAGTTAACGATAACAACACTGGTCCAAACATATGTCGGATGAAAGTCGTCTGTTTTCCGCTCCGTTATTGTTACATATGAATGCGTCGTTTGTTGTGTTTCAGGTTTATGAACACCCGAGCAGCTGTGAACCGCCGTTACCAGCCCACATGTTACGAGCACGCGGCCAACTGCTACACCCATGCCGTAACGAACATTCATTCTTTAATGAATAGAATTAAAGCGATCCAGCTAAGTGCTTATTTGGAGTGTCATGTGACACTCCTAAATGTTGGCATATGAAACGCTGATTTCCTCCTCAAACTCTGGCCTGCAGCTGCTGATTGTGCCGGCGTTCGTGGGAATGGCTCTCTTACACCGGCTGTCTGATGACCGCTGGGAGCGGATCACGGCCTGGGTGTACGGCATGGGTCTGATCGCTCTGTTCCTCGTCTCCACAGTCTTTCACATAATTTCCTGGAAAAAGAGCCACATGAGGTATGTTTGCCATCGTACAGCATTTTCTATTCCCGTAACTGCACTTCAGTTCTCACGACAGTGCAAATCATTTAGCTTTTCTATCAGAGGTTTGTATTCTTTGACCACTATAGTGATTCTGTAGATTCTCTATTGATCAACTTTAATGTGCATCAAAATATGATATTTCAGGGCACATGGTACACAAACTCTGGTGTGACCACAATTCACATTAATATTGTCTCCTGTGTGTTTTGTTTCTCAGGACCATGGAGCACTGCTTCCACATGTGTGATAGAGTCGCCATATACTTCTTTATCGCTGCCTCTTATACACCATGGTATGTTTTCTTTATACACATTTATTGCTTTTGCATTTAGATTTCAAAAGTTAAATACATCTTAAAAAAAACTACCAGCTTTATTTTTAAAGGGGTCATATGATGCTGCTAAAAAGAACATTATTTTGTGTATTTGGTGTAATGAAATGTTTATGCGGTTTAAAGTAAAAAAACACATTATTTTCCACATACTGTACATTATTGTTTCTCCTCTATGCCCCGCCTTTCTGAAACGCGTCGACTTTTACAAAGCTCATCGGTCTGAAAAAGCGAGGTGTGCTGTGATTGGCCAGCTATCCTGTGCGTTGTAATTGGCCGAATACCTCAAGTGTGAGACGGAAATGTTACGCCCCTCACCATACTGTGCTGCCATGTCCGGCCGGAGCGACGAGACAAAAACATTAAAACCCATTACAAACGAGGCATTTGTTGCATCCAGTGGGGACATAATTACTGATTATAATGACTTGTACTGTCTTTTTACGCGTTGCGTTGCATCGCGCCGCGTAAACATAAAATCCTGTCTGCATTTGTGATCGGAGAAATGACAAACAACAAGCCCTACTCTACACTGCTCAAAACTCACGTTTGAATCATCAGTGGCAAATCGTTTAAATGAAAACGTACTTAATACAACTTAACCACTGATTTCTAGTCGTGTCCTCCTTTGGAAGACCAAACAAAGTAGTTTCGCTTTCACAACGAAAAACACAGCGCCTAGCAGAAGCCCCGGCTTAACGTGAGCTGAGTCCGGACTAGAGTGAGCAGAGGTGGCGGGGTTGAGAACGGCGCAGCCGGCAGATCCGACGAAGGAGCGTCAAGCACATGTGACGTCCCCGGGCTTCGTCCACGGTGAAAGCCGATCTGGCGAGCCACAGCACTAAGTTGATGTATTCCCTCAGCGACCAGCACGGATCAGCTCCAGGCATGACGGAGCAGATATCGTCCTCTTTTGGAAGACCAAACAAAGTAGTTACACTTTTACAACGAAGCACACAGCGTCTTCACGACATGGCGGCGGCAACAATACTACAGCGAGAATAAAAGTTACGCCTTCTTTCTTTGCGTGAACATTTGGGCAGCGTTATGCAAATCTTCCCACATCGTGACGTAGACATGTGGGGGCGTGTTAGAACGAGCCGTTTTAGGTTGGCGTGGCTGACTCTTAACTTTTATAAAGAATATCTCTTTGGATTTGAGACTTTAGTCTTTGCAAATTTACAGATCTTCTTCATGCACCAAGAGCTTGTAACACTCCAAAGAGAAAGGAAAAATTGAAATCGCATCATATGACCCCTTTAAATGACCATGTTTGTTTTTCTTTTGAGGTGATACCTTGGTAATACCATGTTTGGTATCAGTACAGTTTTTTTTATGTTTTTGTAAGAAGTTCCTTCTGCTCACCAAGGCTATATTTGTTTTTTGATTGAAAATTTGTTATATTTTTTACCACTTAAAATAACAGTTTTCTATGTGAATATATTATAAAATGTAATTTATTCCCGTGATAAAAAGCTGAATTTTCAGCATCCTAACTCCAGTCTTCAGTGTCATGTGATCCTTCAGAAATCATTCTAATATATGGATTTGCTGCTAAAGAAACATTTCTGATTATCAATGTTGAAAACAGTTGTGCTGCTTCATATTTTTGTGGAAACCGTGATGCATTTTATTTTTCAGGATTATTTTATGAATAGAAAGTTCATTTATTTGAAACAGAAATCTTTGTTACTTATGTTAAGTATCTTATACTACTTGTACAGTATCTGCAATATTATGAACAGTTAACAAAAGTAACAAAAATGGTTAATGGTGATTAATTATTGTTAAGAATAAATGTAATTGTATTTATTTGAACACATGTTTTTTTTATGCTGTATTGCATTTATTATTTGTTCTTATAAAACGGATAGTTCCGGTCCTTGATTCTGATTGGTTGAGCCGCGTTCAAAGCTGTTGTAAATTACTCTACAAACATACACCTTTGTTTACTTCTGTGTGTTGCTCGGCAATCACTTTGTTGAACCACAACTGTTTCTGCGGAACTACATTGTTTGGTGGAAGATTACACTTTACTTGCTCTGTTTTATTTTGTGAAACCTTACTACGTATATGGAATAACCGTTTTATAAAAGCAATAAGCCCCGTGAAGCCGTAGTTTACAGTGAAATTTATAACAGCTAAGGGTGTTTTACGGTCTAACAACGCCCCTAGCTGTTATAAATTCACTGTAAACCACGGCTTCTTGGGGCTTATTGCTTTAATTTACTTCCATTGAATGGTTTTATTATATTGCTGATTTATAAAAGTAATAAACCACTTGAGATTTTATATATATATCTCACCATGCACTGAATGATTTAACAAACATTTACCACAATATTTACATGCATTCAAAGAATGCCATGGTTTGTTGTGTCTAGCACTTCATGAAGATCAGACTTTTTACATGCTGTGCATCGATAATGGATCAAACATGGCTGGTTTTTCATGCTGACGGTTGATCGATCAGGGTGTGCCACAGCTCTCTGTGGAATGTTTTTGATCAGAAGATTCCAGGATTCTCGTGGGGGCTGGTTCTAATCTTTTTGACGGCGAAGAACCATTTGGCAATTTACAACCCCTCTACAAGTAACATCTCTGACCAGAACTGTAATTTATATGCAAATGTCAAAAGGCTAAAAGGGTCTTTTAAGCCATAAACAGTCCAACACTCCAGCATGATCCTACGCAGACGCTACACAGCTAAGGGTGTTTTACGGTCTAACAACGCCCCTAGCTGTTATAAATTCACTGTAAACCACGGCTTCTTGGGGCTTATTGCTTTAATTTACTTCCATTGAATGGTTTTATTATATTGCTGATTTATAAAAGTAATAGACCACTTGAGATTTTATATATATATCTCACCATGCACTGAATGATTTAACAAACATTTACCACAATATTTACATGCATTCAAAGAATGCCATGGTTCGTTGTGTCTAGCACTTCATGAAGATCAGACTTTTTACATGCTGTGCATCGATAATGGATCAAACATGGCTGGTTTTTCATGCTGACGGTTGATCGATCAGGGTGTGCCCCTGCATCCCAATGTGCATACTATCCACCCTATCTGCCCTAAATAGTATTGAAAATGACTAATATCACATAGAATTTAGGATGGATAGTATGCACATTGGGATGCAGGCTCTGTGTGTGTGTGTGTGTGTGTGTGTGCGCGCGTTTTTGTGACAAATGAGGACATACATTTGTATAATGACAAAGGTATGACATAGGTATTACAAGGAGAAGGTGACATTTCAGGACATTACCCCATGTCCCCACTTTTCTAAACGCTTATAAATCACACAGAATGGAGTGTATTGAAAATCTGAAATAGCACAAAGTTTCCTCTGAGGGGTAGGTTTAGGGGTAGGGTTGGTGTAGGGCAGTAGAATATACGGTCTGTACAGTATAAAAACCATTACGCCTATGGGATGTCCTCACTTTTCACAAAAACAAACCTGTGTGTGTGTGTGTGTGTTACGGTTCCACACACTCCTGTGTGATGAGCACTAATGAGGGTGTGTTTTCCCGCAGGCTCAATCTCCGGGAGCTCGGGCCGCTCGCCGCTCACATGCGCTGGTTTGTGTGGCTGATGGCGGCCGCCGGGACCATCTATGTGTTCAACTACCACGAGAAGTATGTTTGACTTCACCACAATGTCTTATGATGTCAGGGGATGCCAGATACATTGTACCTTAATTATGCAAAATTGATAATAGACACAAAGTGTTAAATTATATGTTGTTGAGTGTACAACATTAGACTGGTTGTGATTATTGGTAGAGTAACCGCAAGTATTTGGCAAGTCCCAGTCACGTACAGTACAGTGAGGACACATACGGTTAAATACATCAAATTAATAAAATATTCATAAAATATTACAATAATGAATTTTATTATTTATAAATTATTATTGTTAAAATTAGGGGCAAGATTGATAATCAGCATGCACAAAGTGTTTAATAATTTTTTTTGTTGAATGTACAACTTGGCCGGTTGTGATTTATTTAAGGTAGCCACAATTATTTTGCATTTTAAAGTCCCAGTCACATACAGCCACCCAAGTGAGCACATATGCATTTTAAATAAATAAAATAGTAAATATTATAATATTATGATTTGAATCATTTATAAATTATATAATCATAAATTATTATTAATATAACAATAATAATAACAATAATTATTATTAAATAAAATATTTACAAAATACTTTAAAGTGTTATTTGCAATATTGGTTTACACATCCTTCAAGAAAATCTATAAAGAATATACAAACCTATATACAAATAAATGGCATTTGTATTTCAAAGTTTATTGCAAATAAATAATTTCTTAAATTGTGTGTGGATTAAGCACAACAGAATGGGTAATTAAACATGCACAAAATAGACAATGAAATAAATGAACAATATTTACCTGTAGAAATTCCCCTGAAGTGAGAGAGATGTTTAATTGTCATGATTTATTTGTATTGGTGTGTGATGTTAAAGCGTGTGTTTGTGCAGGTATAAGTTAGTGGAGCTGGCGTTCTACCTGACCATGGGCTTCTTTCCTGCGCTGGTGGTGACATCAATGGTGAGTCTATGAGCTCAACTTAATCTGATCTATGTGCTTCTAGAGGCCAAGTACTAATTAGCAGACCCCTAATTAACCTGACCATTTAAAGCTGGTGTAGGAGGAGTCATTGCAGAGGACAGAGAACGGATTGTAGACAGGGTTCCCACGCTTCTTGAAAGTACTTGAATATCAGTCGCATGGATTCAAGGCCTGAAAAGTACTTGAAAACAAATATAAGTCCTTGAAAGTGCTTGAATTAAATTTGAAATAGATTTTGTTTAGTAGAATGTGCTATTTCAAAAATTGTCCTACATGCGCTGTCAAAGACAAAACGAAACTGCGCTAATGATTGGGGGTTGAGATAGGGTAGCGCTGGGAGCTGATGCGCAGCCCTGCATGAACCTATAGAAACCAGTGGCGGCTCGTCGGGGGAGGCAGGGGAGGCACAGCTTCCCCATAATTTTGAGGTGAAAATGGGAGGAGGACGATTTAATGTTAATAAAATTCACAATTCATTTCAGTTCATGTCTCAGAATGTTTCTTTTTTGTTTGTAATTTCACAGTTGTAATATCATAACGTGAAAGCACCGCTTTTCTATCGTGAATGTGCCGAATCTGCTGATTTAATTACAACCGCTAGGATATAGAGAAGGGGAGGGGGAGGCCGAGCGAGCGCTGAGCTCTCGTGCCTCCGTTGGTAAAACAAATGAGCCAATCACCATCGAGTGTTCACTTCAGCGCTGAGGAGTGTTGAGAAAAGAAACCTCGCAAGGGAGGCTAGCCTCCCTTCTGATATCAACCAATCATCACAGAGACGTAACTTACGTAATATTAGTTTGAACGTCTGCCGCGGCACTGATAATGTACCAAGTACTTATGATGAGAGAAGCAGTGCATTTGCGAATGAAAATTACTGCGTGCAACTTTGAAAAAAAATATTTAGGAGCACCAGTGCGACTGACCCGATCAGCATATTTGTGTTTGCGCTCAGGGGAGCTTCAAAGGTTTCGGACTTATTTACAACGTGTTTTTGCTGCGTTGAGTAATGTATCGCAGACAAATCTGTTGATTCCTTGAACACAATGTTAATCAGAATCCACTCACTGCTCAAACACCTGAGTTTTGTTCAGTGCCGAGTTCTGCAATCTCTCGAATCCTCTCATTATTGCAAACGAAGTGTTGACAGGGTGTAAATAAGAGATTCGTTGTGCAGTGTAGGGAGCTTCGTCGATTATAATGGAACTTTGTGAGATCGCGATGAGTGAGTGACAGCTTTTAATGATTATTAAGGGAGTTTGCAAATGTGATATTGATTTAATACAACAGTTCATTAAACAAGAAATTAATATTACGTGACTTGCTTTGTCTGACTACAACACTATTGCCTGATTTTGCTCTATTTCAACAACGAAAATAGTTTCAAACAAAGTCACAGCTGAGCCACTGCGCATTTCCAAGCAAACACAGCGGTGTTTTGTTTATGAATGAACGTGCCTTTTTAAACAAATCTGAATCAATTACCCATTCATAAAGCCAGTCACTTGCTTCATTCCTGAATGAATTAGTCGTTCGAACAAATCAATTGAATGAATGATTCAGTGATAAACTCAATGATTTGCCGCCACCTACTGGCAGTTTTACTTTCATTTTTAAAGGATCTTTTCTGTCATTTAATTCGTTTGATATTTCTATATTCAAAATTGTATATTTAAAATATTAACCTCAACATGAATTTATTAATTAAATTCCACTCATGCTACCTCTGAGCTTCATTAAACATCTGAAAATACACCTACAAGCCACTTTTGTGATCTTCTGTGCCACCTCTGTGGTACACATTATTTTTTTATTTGATTGGTAACTTATTCTTATTCTACTTGATTTTATTCTGTTGTTTTAATTAGAAATTTTAAAAAGCTTATAAATATACTTTTTTTGACTTTGACATTAAAGATGACATACTTTTAATAAAGTTAGAAAAATGCCATTACAAAGGTGTAAAAACTAAATTCCCTGTAAATCACTTTGAGTCAAATATCATCTCGTAATGGGAAGGCTAATATTTGATCAGAATTTTTAATTATTGATTAGAAGGTGCTCCTGAAATTTTTGACTGTGCTCCTAACATTTTTTTTTATTTTAAAAGAAAAGTACACAGAGCCCTGCTTAACCACTTTTTATTAATTTAAAAACTGAGAAATTCTCTCAAATTTAAATCTTTTACAAGAATTACAGCAAAAACCAGTTTGATGCAAGAATATATATTTGTATTAATATTTGAGAAATTGTATTTGAATATTACCAGTGTGAACTCCATTGACTTCAATGGATTTAATTAAATTCCTTTGAACACGACTGCTCAAAGTGGTCTAAATTTATTAACCTACACATTCAAAAAACATTTCAGCGTAATGAGTTTATGTAAATGTTAAGTGTAAGTGAAAAGTTAAGTACTGTAACAGGTCTTTCATGATGCTACATATGCTGGGGTGTGAATTTGATAGGTGCTTGAAATTAAATAAATAGTGTTTTAAAAAGTCCTTGAATCTGGTGTTCATGAAAGAGTGGGAACCCTGTGTAGATGTAAATATCCAAATCTTAGTGCATCCAACATCAACAAAAGCCTTAAAATTACTTCAGAAGTATTTCTGTATTATAGATTTGAAGAAAACTAAATGTATAGTCACCATGATGTTTTATAGTGAAACAAGAAATTTCCAACCTTCCCTTGAAGGAAATCAGATCACCTTCACCTTTGACCCAGTTTTTGAGTCCTCGGGCTGTTCATGTTAACCTGCCACACCTGAAATGTTCACTATGCAACCGACCCATGCTTGATCTGGGATTTCCGCAATTCAGAATCAAACACAACAGCATTTGAATTGAGTCACTGATACACCTGATTAGAATTGAATAAAACCTTTGTTACCACATGGACAATTACATGTGAATCTCCCCAAAAAATTCCAGGTCATAGTTTACCCTAAAATCAATTTATAATCGTATATACAGTGGTGTGAAAAAGTGTTGGCCCCCTTCCTGATTTCTTATTTTTTTGCATGTTTGTCACACTTTAATGTTTCAGATCATCAAACAAATTTAAATATTAGTAAAAGATAACACAAGTATACACAACATGCAGTTTTTAAATGAAGGTTTTTATTATTAAGGGAAAACAAAATCCAAAACTACATGGCCCTGTGTGAAAAAGTGTTTGCCTCCTAAACCTAATAACTGGTTGGGCCACCCTTAGCAGCAACGATAACTTGCACTGAGTCTGTTACAGAGCTGTGGAGGAATTTAGGTCCACTCATCTATGCAGAATTGTTGTAATTCAGCCACATTGGAGGGTTTTTGAGCCTTTTTAAGGTCATGCCACAGCATTTCAATGGGATTCAGGTCAGGACCTTGACTTTATTTTATTTTTTTTTTTATATATATATTTAAGATTATTTTTCTTGAGTTGAGATAAAAATAAAAAGTGTAAATTTTTTTGTAGTGTAACAGCTACGTTAATGTAATGGACATATAAATGTTTTTCTGTCTTGTAACCACAGTTGTTTTTTTTGTTTTTTTTTGCTGTATTATCAACAATACTCATATTAAATATATATGATTCATATTATATTCATATGATTCATATATCAATTTTCATTATTACTTATGTTTTCTTTTGACTTCTAGGTGAAATATGATCCAGGCATAGTTTGACAGCTTTTGTGAGATTCACCCTTACATATACAGTATAAATACAGCACGTGTGTACAGTGTGCATTGTGCAACACAATAAAGACTTGGGTTCGGTGTAGTAAGCAAACAGAGATGCTTTGAAATGTAATCACTGTTGATAACCTTTGCTTCGGGTTTGTATGATGTTCGAGTCAAAAACAGCAGCAGCTCTGTGTTCATTACATACCAAATACAGCACGTGTCTCATGTCACAGACACTGACGTCACCTTGTGGTTAGGAGCAGTAGTTACTCTTGCTTGAAAAAATAACCAAATAAAACTCCCTGCATTCAAAGCTCAACTTTTCCTTTGGCTTTTGGATTATTGCAAAAAAAAATAACCTCTGGGACCAACAAAAGTTTACGATTCTTACACGTTCTGTTCATCATCAAATCTTCACAACGTTTATGAATTTTGAAGAGTAAATGCAGTCAGCAGAAGTAAAAAGCTAAACGTTGGCTATAAATGAACTGCACCATGGTCACATGACGTCAACGTCACCATTGTTAAGCGTCTAACAACTTTTTTTTTTTTTAATCTTTAATTTATAACATTTTACTTGAAAGTTTGAGTCAGGATAGTTTGCAACAGCGTGATTCTAAACACAATGAGGCTGTGAAAGTGACTAGTGAGTAGATGAGTTTGTCTGTTCAGTGGGATGATGTTTAATGTAGTCCTATTTGGACACTTGTTAGCAACTGCCTTTTTCAAGACAAGTAAGAGTTTCAGAAAAAAATCACAGGGGCATACTGCTAGTGTATTTTTTTTGTAGAATAAAACATGACAATATCTTGAGCTTAACCCTGAACTTAACCTGTGTTAACCACCGACCCTATTTCAGGCATTAAATCAAAAATCCATTCAAAAAAAACGTTGAATTGTTAAAATGTCAACTCGTTTCAGGGTGTCGGCCTCCAAAAATACTTCATTCCTGCAGCACTCTATATGCAACACCATCAAAACATTATTAAATGACCTTTTACACATCTGAGATATAAATATAGTAGATTACACTCTTAAAAACGAAGGTTCTTTATTGTCATTGCTTTTATGTAGAACCTTTTGTTGTAGACTAAAACAATTGAAGAAAATGTAAAAATGGCTACGTTTACATGCAACCAAGTAATCCATTTGTAATCGGATTAACGGCTCAATCGGACTGAAAAGATCGCATTGAAAGGGGTGGTTTATTCCTTTTCTAATACGATTGAGAGTGCATGTAAACACTCGATCGGATTGAACCCCGAAACTGAAAGCACTGCGCATGTGCAATGACGCAGAACTAGCGTAATGACGTATGACGAGCGGTTCTTCCTTTTGAATAAAGTGTTGTATAAATGCGTGTCCTGTCATTATTAAACTCTCCTTTCACTCGGCAACTGTGAAGTGGAGCAGGACAACCTCCCACCAGTCCTTGTTTTGGATTCTCATCCACAGGCAACCCGTTTTGGGCACGGGGAGGGGCTTTTTTTTTTTTGCGTATTAAATATGAGCAGCACGGCACAGCGGTTTATATGTATTTTATCCATAAATTAATAAACATTAATTCTGCTGTTAAAAACAAATAAATGAACGGTGTAGGAGAGTGGTTATTATGTGCAAACAGTGAGAAACTCTATATTTGTGCAGTGTGCACATGCAAAAAAAAAAATCAATTCCGATTTGAAGCTTGTGACATATAAATGCGTACATCAACCCGATCACTTTCTTTAGCGTTCATGCAAACACTACATTCAGATTCATCAATCGGAATGAATTCAGTCCGATCGAACCAAAAATTGTGCATGTAAACGTAACCAATGTAGAATTAACTTGAATTGAACCTAAACTTAACCTGAATTTAACCTAAACTTAAACTGAACTTAACCTGAATTTAACCTAAACTTGAACTGAACTTAACCTAAACTTAACCTGAATTTAACCTAAACTTAACCTGAATTTAACCTAAACTTAAACTGAATTTAACCTAAACTTGAACTGAACTTAACCTGAATTTAACCTAAACTTAAACTGAACTTAACCTGAATTTAACCTAAGCTTAACCTGAACTTAACCTGAATTTAACCTAAACTTAAACTGATCTTAACCCGAATTTAACCTAAACTTAACCTTGAACTTGACACACATGGTTCCATGAAGAACCTTTTAACAATCTTTCCATTGCTTATCATGGAAAGAGGTTTTAAAATGTTCTTAACTAAGATAAAATGCTTATTTTAAGAACTGACCACTGAAAGGTTCTTTGTGGAACCAAACATGGTTCTTCTATGGCAGGGGTGGCGAACTCCGGTCCTGGAGAGCCGCAGCCCTGCAGAGTTCAGCTCCAACCCTAATTAAAACTCACCTGCCTGTAGCTTCCTAGTAACCCTTCAGACCTTGATTAGCGTGTTCAGGTGTGTTTGATTAGGGTTGAAGCAAAACTCTGCAGGGCTGCGGCTCTCCAGGACCGACGTTCGCCACCCCTGTTCTATGGCATCAATGTTCCTTTTTGGAGCCTTTAGTTTTATGGATTTTTGCCTGGTTTTTAATTTGTCAAATGTGTAAAAACACAACTTTATTCGATGATTTTCATGTCAGTAACTGTGTTTGGTTCTTGTTTTGATCAGAGTAACACAGACGGGCTGTATGAGCTGGCGTTCGGAGGCTTGGTCTACTGCCTGGGTGTCGTCTTCTTCAAATCAGACGGTGTGATTCCGTTCGCTCACGCCATCTGGCACGTGTTCGTGGCTCTTGCTGCCGCCATCCACTACTACGCCATCTGGAAGTACCTGTACCGCAGTCCCCCGCTGGAGGACATCAGGGATGCTTGAGCTCCTCTCCCTCATCATTTCCTCCTCCATCACCAAAACATCACAACCGGATGTTCCAAACACCAACATTTACCAGTACGACCATGCAATGTTTACGGTTTTCTAACCAACTGGGATCAGTGAAGTGTGTGTGTGTGTGTTGCAGTACTGAATGCACATTTGCCACAGTTGCAACAAGACGGCAATGTTTGTGTGTTTTTTTTTTCCATTTCCATTTTCATTAGTATTATGTAAATACATTCCACTGAAAGCAGATGAATTGTGATTCTTTTTGATATTTAATGATTTTTCCATCCATTCAGTCACACACACACTCAGTAGCAGTTTCATATCATCTGTAGTGAATTACTTTTCTTTACTCGTGCGACTTTCTGTATCAAATCTGTATTTTTGCGTCTTAACTCACTGGGTTTTTACTTCAGACGTACAGCTAGTTGTTTTCTACAAAGCGCTAGTGGTTTTCTACACTCCTGGTGTCTCCTTCCCCCGTGTTTCTGCTCTTTCAGCAGGATTTGAAAGTGTTGCACAGAGCTTTTTTTCTAAGCAGCACTTTTCTAACAGGAAGAACCACTTCTCTTTGATACTCCATTTGTAGGCTGATGGCGGATAGAAACGACGTTGAATGCTTCTCTGCACAACCAGGTTTATGATGCTATAGGATGTTTTATCTCACCGCCTGAACCACCTTAAAGACACTTTGTGAAGTTTCTCAAATTTGGCACAATATTCGATGGGCTTGTGATTAAGAAGTGTTAGCCAATGACATTTGAATGACATCCTCGAATAACATCCTGTGTCCGTTATGATGAATCTGACAAAAACGGGTCATATTTCACCCCAAAATCTTGAAAAGTTGAATTGCAAAAATGAAAGAAAAAAGAAGTTGAATCAGTAAGATTGCAATTGCATTGCAAGAAACTAGAGCATACTGTTTTTAGGACCATTATGTTTTTAGTTTTTTTTTGCATTGACATTCTCATGACATTTTTCTTCTCATTACTATATTTTTACTGAGTTTTTATTATAATATATAAGTATATGTATATTTAAAAGAAATAACTACTACAGTAATACATTTATATATATATATATATATATATATATATATATATATATATGTGTGTGTGAACTTGGGGGATAATGTGCTTAATGTCATAAATGTCACAATGCAAAAAAAAAAAGTGATTTTTTTTTTATTTCTTTTTTTTTTAGAAAAATTACCAAAAAAAGTGTTTTTAGTGCTTTTTTTATTTTGATTTGAAGTGAAATATGACAATGTTCTTTACAGATTAATGATATTTTCTTAGATATCGACAGTGCAATATGGGCAAACGAAACGTTTACGAACCAATGTTCTTTTTCTGGCACGATATCTCCCATCATGCACACCACACTACCTGACAGCACCAGGATCATCTTTTATCATTCCGAGGACCTTCACTGGTTTCTGTCGCGTTTCTGCAGGAGACACTGTGACACTGTGAATGCGTTCGGCTTTGATCGCAGTTTGACTTTGCAGTTCTGGTGAAGCACTGATCGGATGGGATTCGGGAAACGTTGTGATCCGATATGCAGCTGCTCGCATATTTAAGTGTTTTCGCACAAAGCCTGAAGCTCTTGTTTTGTAATATTTTCACTGTGGTCTGTAAACATGCATATTCTTCTTCTCATGTCGTGTCGGAATATCCAGAATTACTTTTTCATCCTGTAATTACAGACTTTAAAACGAACGTTTATGCAAGCGCTGATACAAGTAAAAGCAGGTTTTCTACACGTTTCTTCTTCATATGCTATTAGATTTTTTTGCAGGTTAATTATTAAATGTCCTGTTTTTGTAATTCCGTCATGCAGAGTTTCGTTATGATTTGGGGATGTCTGATGAGATGTGTTAGGACATTTTGACCACCTCTGGGACAGACTTTTGTAAAAATCTTTCTTCATCCTGTTTTGGCACATAATTCTGCACTGGCCTTCTCAAATCTAACTCCAAAACTTCTTCATTCTCATCACACATCATTCTAGTGTTTTGGTGCTGGTGTTACTATAAAGACTACATGTGTCCAATACTGAACAAGTCTCTAAAGTGTTAATAAACACGAGCAGTAACTCTCCTGCATGTGTGTTTGTGATCATTTCGTCCGGAATATCGTGGCTCATTCCATGTTTCACACACGGCACAATGAAGAATTTAAGGCGGTTGCTATTATTCTGTTCTTCTTTTAAACACTGAAAAAAAAGGTGTAGGATTTACTTTTAATCATTTTCCACTTGACGCTTTACAATAAGATCTCACTTGTTAACATTGGATAAAATTAACTAAGAATTAGTACTTCTGTAGCATTCATTAATCTCGACGTTCCTCATTGAATATTTACCAAAATGTAAAAATCATGTTATTGTTAACAATATTTAATTCACTGGAAGCGTATGTGAACAATGAGCAACTGTATTGTTATTAACTAACAAAGATTAATAATTGCTGAAAAAATATATTGTTACTTCATGTTAATACAGTGTATTAATGTTATGAAATGAGAGTTTATAGTGAAATTACTGAAACAGCTTATTTTGAATAGAAATTGGTAAAGAAATGCACTATTTAGAGACAAATGTATTAGCAAACTAATCTAAATACAAAAAAAGTATTGATATAAAGGAGAAATATATTTATATTTTTAAAACATCATTACATTTTATTGCTATATTGTATTTTGTTTCATGTTATTTATTATATTATTAATAATACATGTATTAATAATACATGTATTAATCATACATGTGCAATAATAATTTATGTACTGAAATAATGTTTTGGAGCGATTTATCAGTGCATGTTATTCCTATAAGAAAAAAATTAACTTTTTGAATTATTTTAATCAAAATGAAATAATATACCCAACCTGATTTTAATCGCAATGTTTAATAATTGCTAGAATAGAACAAATAGGCTAATGTCTAGAATTCAGACGAACCAAGTTATGAAAAAAGACAATCACAGATGTTGAGAGAAAATCTGAAGTCTTTATTGGACACTAAATGTACAGAGAAACAAGGAGTCAAAAGGTGGCAGCAGAGAGTAAAGGTTCAGGTTTCTGCTTATCTGCGTGACACACAAGATCAAACGTCTCCAGCTTTGAGTCTCTCTCAAAGACTGTCTGCAGGTGTTGCCTTCAATACGGCGGTTTTTGTCTTTTCTGACTTTTGGGGTCAGTCTGATTGGAGCAGCGCGGGAGCCCTTTCCATGCATGTTCGATCCGGTCCAAGTAATTTAAGCTTTAAAATGGGTGTGGAATCGTATGTTGTAATTCAAGGCACTGGACTAAACCGGTTCAATATGGTTATAGGTTCCTTTCAGGACTGAGGTAGGGAATTTTACCAAAGAGAGACGCACACAATCTCACTGCGGTGTCCTGGAAAACAGGGAATAGCCTACTGCAAAAATGTGTTTATAAAATTACGCAAGATTGCCAAACTGTCCAGCTTGAGTTGTTTCTGGTCTAATGCTGCTTTCACGTGCTATCAGAAATTTCTCATTTCTGAAGTTGGTTAATAACGAATTAATCGAGTTCAGCTGATTTGATGTCGAATGTGATCATATTTTGAATACAATCCGGTTAGTTTACAATCCGCGCTAAATATCGAGATGGTTAGCTACTTTATTCTCATATTTCAGTGAAATATGCTGCTTTCGCTGTGTAAAATACATAATACACACCAATTTTTTATACGTCAACATACATGGAAGTAAGAACAATGCGGTCACATTTACCGTTTTTTTTATTTCAGCGAAAATTCGCGTGCGAAATCCAGTTATTCCAATAGGACTCCACGCGTGATATCGAAAACGTTCATTTTCAAGTTGGTTACATGATATATGATTTCTGTGTGAGCAATGCTATATACGTTAAGTGACAATTGCAAATGGATATTTTGTGCGTGCGAAATTTCTACAAATTTCACTACAACAATAGTCCTTTCCGCCGCCATGTTTAAAATGTATGATTCTCGCAACTTGGAAAATCAGGTATCAAAATTATCTGTTTCCCAGTCATAACTACAACCTGATAGGCAGTTCATGTCCAATTTGTTAATATTTACGATAATTTTGATAGCACATGAAGGAAGCATAAATGGTGGCCTAGGACTCAAACCTACTTAACCTGAAATAACTTTCCCATCTAACAAGGAGAGGAACACATTGGTGAAACGGTATTTTCGGGGGTCATTATTCACGAGAAGCAGTTTGGCTTAATCCTGGATTTATTTCAGTTTTGCACAGATAGAAACAGACTACACAGGGCTTTATACACGCGTCTCACATCTGCATTTATACCACAAACAAACAGACACGAGGAAGAAAATCAAGGGAAATTAAATGAAATTAAAAAAAAAAAAAACTCGTAATTTCTTTCCCATCAATCTTCAATAATACAAATCTGTGCTCATCTCAACTTTGGCCTGCACTGGGGCAGACGAGGACTTTTACTGTCGACAAAGTCACCAGCGCATTAAACGCAACCTCTGACCTGAAATCAGAAGTCCTGTATTTAAACCCTGTAACTTCTAATAGAATAAACAGAATACAAACTGATCTCAGACCAGTAAAAAAAAAAAAACTTTTACAGAGCCTTACGAAACCTTGTACTCAAACCCAGTAACATTCAACCAAGCAAAAGCTCTCAGAGCTGCCGCACTAAACATTCAATATCAACACTCTGCTGTGAAAAAGACTCAATTATATAGACTAAAAAAGCATAGCCTTTAGATTTCCATTCAAAGAACCAATAGCAATACTGTAAAATGCTCTGTAATGAAACACAGCATCAAGAGTGTGAGTTAGACTGAGGAATTGCAGCTCCTTCCTATAGGAAAAAACTACTTATGTACAGAACACAGCAATATATATAGATATATTTCATATTTATAACGAGTTATGGTTTGAGGTCCGGCTGCTAGCGTTCCCTGAGACAGAATACTAAAGGCTATTTGAATATGAGGGTGCAGAAGGTTTTTAATGCCCAAAATAGAGGACATGATGGCGGGTTTCGCATTTATATACTTCATAATATATCAAAACACTATGTCACTTAGCTTTGAATAATAGATATATATACGTAAGCTATCATATATTTCTCTTCCACTACTCTGGATTTGTTGTGCCTTGAAAATATTCAGACAGTATTATATAGGAAAAATACTGTACAAAAAAGCAACTTAGAATAGATTTCATATATATATATATATATATATAAACATTAAAACTCTGTTTTATCAATAAATCTGTGTGCTGTATCTTTTGGTCTGCAGTAAACAAACTGATTTCAACCACAGTATTTGAGACAACACCGTCCTGCTCAACGAATGGCTCAAAACCTCTTAAAACACATTCATTACAGTCATACAGACGACAGACATGCGAAGCTACAAAACAAAAAGGAAAATAAATCACTACAAATATCTGCTTGTACTGACAAATGAAAATTCTAAAACATGCTCTGGGTAAAAAAAAAATATATATAACAATAAAAATAAAAAGATAGGATAGAATAATCATCCATCCTAAAAAAGAAAAGGAAAAGACCCATTCACAATTAGATTTAGGCTGCAACTCTGCAAAGTCATGCTGAAATATCCAATAAAACAATAAACAATCAGGAAAAATTACTATACAGCCATAACAATAAGAACAGCTATAACAATAGTAGCAATTAACAGCTGAATATTTTTGAAAAAATTTCTTCCATTAAAAAAAAAACCGAAACTCCATACACATATCAGGCAGATTATAGTGTAGGTAGAAACATTGCACCAGATCAGATTGTGAAACACGCATTAGTGCAGGGAGTTAGAGCGAGACAGAAAGACAGACAAATATGGATTCAGCATTTTTGGAGGGAAAGTTTTGAAGGGAAAGTTTCCGCACTGCAGCAGAAATGATGGCGCTATGAAACAGGCTAGCTTACATTTCATGTGTTTTGCCCTCTGAAGAGATTCAGGCTTATTGCTCTATGGACAATGCGGGAAAGACGCCAAAAACTACGCTGGTGTTGGTTTAAAAGAAATGGTGAAATAAAACAGACAAAACACATAGAATAGGAAAAGAACAAAACAAACATCATGTTCTGACGCTAGCTAGTGTTTTACACACTTCACAGAACGAAAGGTGTCGGTGCGTTACAGCTATTCAACTAAAATACATTAATATACGCAAAAAGAAGCTCGAGCAACAGGAAGTGGGCGGAGCCTCTGGGAAGAGGGGGGTGGGCTGAGCGGTTGATTGACAGACAGTAGGGCGAGCGGCGAGGAAAATATTTATCAGTCCATGTTACAGGTGTATAAAACACTCCAGAGAAAACCATTTCCAGATAAACGATCCATCGTTGGTGAAGGAATAAATGGACGAACGGAACAAATAAAAGGAAAGAGAGAGAAGTGAATGTGTGAAACTAGACAAGAGGAAAAACACACACATGAAATACAAAATCAACTAAAGAACGCAAACTGGGTTTGTAAAGAGAAAAGTGAAAAGAGAAACGTGAAAAAAAAAAGAAGATGAGAATTTGTCGCCTCTTAAAGAGGCACGCAGAAGTCCCTGGGGGGTTGGTGGTGGGCAGGGCATTTGTGGAGGTGGGCGGGGTTTGTGCGGGGTGGGAGGGGCTCACAGAGGGCCGTGTCGCGCCTCGTATTTGACCAGAATGTTCTTACAGCAGCCGAGTTCCTTCCGCAGGTCGGCCACTTCCTGTCTGAGCGCCACGTTCTCTTTCTCCAGGAATCCCGCGCGAATGGCGATCTGGTTCTCTTTCACCCGGCGAGCTTCCCGGGAGCGTTTGGCAGCGAAGTTGTTCTTTCTGCGCCGTGCCCAGTATCTGTCGTCCTGTGCGGAGATGGAGAGAGAGAAACAAATGAAAAACGAGTTATCCATTTGGCAGTGTTAATTTTGACAGCAAATTTTGAGTTAGTTTTAGTCATAGTCTTTTGACAAAAATGCCATTTAGTTTTAGTCATCTGAATTAGTTTTAGCCGACTAAATATCATACAATTTTAGTTGACTAAATTTGAAGTAGATTTAGTCGACTAATATCTAAAGGGTTTAGTTAAATTGTAATGCATTATTATTATTTTTTTATTTCTGTTTTGTTTATTTTAGTACATCATGTTAAGCTAAAGCTTACAAACTAAATGAAATAAAATAAGTTTTTTTTTTAATTGATGTATTTTAGATATTTATTTCCTATTCTATAGATTTGTTTTATAATTTCAGTTAACATTTATTTGATTGCAATTAATGATGAATATTTGTATGGTTTTAGTTTTAACTAGGGCTGCACGATAAATCGCATTCGATATTTAACGCGCATCTTGTCAGAAAGCCGGTTTTGTAATCAGCGGTAAATTTCCATCACCTGCGGGCTTTCACATTGAGCAGCATTAACTACACAGAGCCGTTGTTCATTGACGAGCTGCGCAAAAAATCGCGCGAATATGAACGTCAAATGTATTTATGAAATAATATTTGGATGTTCTTAGTCTATCCATCCTGTGATGGGGAATCCCAGACCGAAGCTACAATAGTTGTTAATTAAATTGAAATTAAATTAAATAAACTAAATACAGTTTATGTACCCAAAATATCAATAATCACAATGAAAAATGCTTGAAATACATCGTGACTCTTATTTTGAAATGTCTGCACTGTTGACTGTATAGTTTCAGGCTACTCATTCAAGTTCAGATTCTTACAACCGTCTAAAACATATTACCATATAAATATTGTATAGTAAACATTGTCATAATTCATCAACATTAGTTCATAAGCAACCGCTTGGCATAAATGCACACTATTCATTGATTACAACCCGCACTGAAGCAGTCAGAAGCGTTGCTGCGTGAGCCTGTAGAGCGCGCCACAGCGCCGTGTTTTTCCCACGGTTAATGTTCGTAACTACCACGTAAAACATTAGTCCTGACTGAGTCTGTATATCTTCCCAAATCGACCTTCCCTAACATTTTCGTCTCGTTTTTATTCTTTAACAGAAATTAGAGTATATTTTAGTTTTAGTTTTTTGTCATTAAAAACAGTTTTTTTTTGTTATCGTCTCGTTTTCATCGGTGAGAAAATGTTGTTGACGAAAATTATGACGAAAATAATTCATCAACGAAATTAACACTGCCGTTTGGAATTTCCGCTGGTGACAAAATTCC